GCACTGCCCCCTCTGCGTGTGCGCGCCTGTGCGCCTGTGTCTGGCCAGCCCTGCCTCGCAACGACGCGGCGTCCCGGGGGCTACTCCAGGTTTCCTGGGCGACTTCCCACCTCTCCGCTTCTGGGTTTGCTCCGGCCTGGAAGGGTCCGCTCTGCCGCCTGCGGGGGCCGGGGTGCGCCTGGGGTGCGGGGCTCCTTCTGGCTCCCTGTGCTCGTGTGACGGCGACAGCCTTGTCTGTTGTTGTTGTGGTCTGCCGGTGTTGTTATGCGTGGAAGGGCGCTGTTGCCCTGGCCAGGTGTGGATGTGAGATGCGAGTCCTGCCTCCGCCTGCAGTTCGGTGGTGGTGCCCATTTGGAGAGGCTTCTCCTGCACGTGTGGAGGGGTCTTGCGCCTCTGCTTTAGGGCACTGCGCGGATGCAAACGTGGCTGGTTTCGATGGCTGCCTCCTCCCTCCTCCCTCCCTCCCTCCGCCACAGGGGCTCTCTGGCCTTCAAGAATCCCAGGGAGGGAGCCGTTTCTCACTGCTGGCTGGGGCCGAGCTTCCCCTGTTGGATTTCGATCTGCTGGCCCTCTTCTCAAAGTCACAGAGCCCTGGCAGAAAAAAGATCAAGATGGGTAGCTGTGTGGTAGTCTGATTGTGGCAGTGGAAAAGAGCCAGAGTCCCAGCAGCACCTGAAAGACTAACCAAATTGGTGGCAGGGGAGGAGCTTTCGTGAGTCTTCAGAAGTGAGCAGTGACTCACGAAAGCTCCTCCCCAGCCACAAACGTTGTTAGTCTTTCAGGTGCTACTGGGACTCTTGCACTTTTCCACTGCTAGAGATCACGATGGGTAGCTGTGTGGTAGTCTGATTGTGGCAGTGGAAAAGAGCCAGAGTCCCAGCAGCACCTGAAAGACTAACCAAATTGGTGGCAGGGGAGGAGCTTTCGTGAGTCTTCAGAAGTGAGCAGTGACTCACGAAAGCTCCTCCCCAGCCACAAACGTTGTTAGTCTTTCAGGTGCTACTGGGACTCTTGCACTTTTCCACTGCTAGAAAAGGGGATGGAAATTCTGCATGCGTCTGGTTTTGGTCCCATGTGTGGATTTCCCTGCCTCAACATTTCTGATGTGCTGCCTTCCAGGGACTGGTTCAATTTTTGCATTGTGAAGAACTGATAGGGGGGGGGGGCATTGGTAGGCTGGCTGGTGTGCCCCAAAAGCTACAGCTGGTGGCCGCAATAAAACAGGGACTGCTGCTGTGCGACACCAGTTCATTTCAGACAGAGATCTTCCTGTTGGGTCGGGCTCTTGTGCTCTGGGGTACTTTATGGAGCAGAGGTCCATCAGTGGCTATTAGCCACAAGGTATAGATAGGGACTCTGGGGCAGGGGGGGTCAACAGTGTGAGGTCTGCTAATGTCCTGGCCCCACTGGTGGACCTCCTGATGGCACTGGTATTTCTGGCCACTGTGTGACACAGAGTGTTGGACTGGGTGGGCCTTTGGCCTGATCCAACATTGGCGTCTCTTATGTTCTTATGTGCAAAGGCAATATTTTTGGGTACACGAGGAGTCTGCACTGGAGTGTTTGCGCAAAAGATCCCTTAATGCCAGACCACTAGAAGACTTCTTAAGTCCTTTTAACCACCCTGCTGGGGTGCTGAAAGAGATGGTTTCCACACACACACACCCCTTTGGTTGCTTCAAAGTCCACTGGCTGAGACCAATGTTCCCTCTAAGCTGTGGAGTCTTGTGAGCAAAAAACATACTTTGTGAGCTGCTGGCATTAAAGTTGTGAGCGGGAGATGTGGCTGAGACAAAAATGTGTGAGCCGGAGGCTAAAAAACTGTGAGCTAGCTCACACTAACTCAGCTTAGAGGGAACACTGGCTGAGACCCCACCCAAATCTATCCTCTTGGTCTCTTCAGCTTATGCTGGAATTGCTAACACCAGTAATACCAACATACAAAGGGGGGTACAGCTCATATAATCACAAAAGAAGAGTAACAAGTAAGCTACAGTAGTGCAAATGTGCTTATATTATTACAAAAATAACTTATGTTTTTACAACAATACAAAGTTAAAAGTATATGATGTCTATGATATTTCATTTCCAGATGTGACGGAATTCTCCGGAGTAAGACTTCCGTTTCATAAGAACTTCCTACAAACATCAAATTTCCTTTATAAGGGCCCACGGATGGAAGGAGGCGGTTGGTGTTGACTGGAAGGCCACCGGGACCAGGAGTCTCGCGCTAAGACCGGCTGACCATGGCGGCTCCAGGTACTGGCTGGCTTCGGTCTCTTCTCCTCCTGCTCTGGAACTATGTTGCTGCGTTTGCGAAAGGGACCCTGTGTGGTTCTCCTTCCCAAGAAGTTCCTTCCTTCTCATTATCGGGCTGATCCGTTCACCAAGCTCAGTCCAGCCGTGCTTAGGTTTATTTGTTTATTTATTACTTTCTATTTATAAGGCGGCATACAACAAGTTAAAATACAATAAAAACAATAAAATACAATTAAAAATTCACATAAACAAACAATTTACATGAAGTGCTACCGGTAGTAAGTGCAGATGGCGACTGCTATAGGATGGTCCGATGTTGGAAGGCCAATATCCAAAGTTGTAACACGAGGGCCGTAACATGTTCGGTTTCCGAAAACTCATTCGTCAGCAGTGTTCCCTCTAAGCTGAGTTAGTGTAAGCTAGCTCACGGGGTTTTTTGCCTCTGGCTCACACATTTTTGTCTTAGCTCAGGAAGGATGGCTCCAGGGCAAACTAATTTATGCAGTAGTCAAATCATTTGCTCACAACTTCAGTGCCAGTAACTCAGAAAGTAGAATTTTTGCTCACAAGATTCCAGAGCTTAGAGGGAACAATGTAATCGTCAGTGGTGGCTCCTAATCGAAGGCCTGGTGGAAGAGCTCCGTTTTGCAGGCCCTGCGGAACTGTAAGAGGTCCCGCAGGGCCCTGATGTCTTCCGGGAGCTCGTTCCACCAGTGTGGAGCCGCCACTGAGAAGACCCTGGCTCTGGTGATGGCCAATCTGGCGTCTTTCTAACCAGGGAGAGTCAGGGTTCTACCTGAGAGTCAAGGCAAACGTATTATCTAGAATGCAACAGGCCTGGCTGGGTCCCTGTCTGCTACTCTTTGATAAGCCCTTAATTTTAACCGATGTATTAAGGTCCCGGGTGCATCATTCCTGCAGCTCTCCCAATTGCTTGGAGCAGACTGGCTTCAGCCCACACCAAATGTGCTTTGAAATGAGCTCTTGGGGTTTTCCCTGTAATTCCCATCAATACTCCCTCTAAGCTGTGGAGTCTTGCGAGCAAAACTTCTACTTTGTGACCTACTGGCATGAAAGTTGTGAGCGAGCCATTTGGCTACTGCATAAATTACTTTGCTCTGGAGCCACATCCTTCCCGAGCGAAGACAAAAAATGTGTGAGTGGGAAGCTAAAAAACTGGGAGCTAGCTCACACTCACTCACCTTAGAAGGAACACTGATTCGCATGCTGTACAGCACATCCAAAGACAGCTCTCCGTTTCAGACTTCTTGAATCAATCCCCGCCCTTCCCCCCTGGCTAATATTCTCCAGGAACTGACTTTTGGGTAAGAACCTCATACGAACTTATTATGAGTAAAAATACACCTATTTGTTTTGAGCAAAGTTTAAAAACATATAAGGGCGCAATGAAAGCCTTGTTAGTAATGTAACCAATTAGTACCAGCCAAATTGTCTGCAGTTGGTTACATCGTTACTTTCTGGACCACCGTTGGAAGATACACAAAAGTAACACCGTTGACCAACTGGGCAGATGCACTGGACAGAGGGTTTAATCTTAAGAGGCCTCATAAACATTCGTGACCTGTGTCTATTGATTTCATTTTGGAACTTTCCTTTTTTGGTCCAGTATTGACATATTCTTTGTTATTTCTAACATGTGCCTGATATGTACCTCATATGGTTTGACCTCTGTAGAAGGCCTGATTGGGGTGAAATGTGTTAGGTCACAATTGTGTGTACTTGTCATTTGTAATTGTTAACGAGGCTTTCATTGGCCCCTTATATCAGGGGTGTTGAAGTCATTTGTTATCAGGGCCAGATCTGACATAAATGAGACCTTGTTGGGCCAGGCCGCGTGTGTCATAAAATGTAATGCCAGGTAGCGGAGATATAAACTTTATAAAGGACGCAAACACAAAGGTTTGTTTTTTTACTTAAAATAAAAACATGCTTAAAACATTAGCACTCTTGCAATATTTTGTTTATATTTAACAGTGTCTGATCACTGACACCTCTTGCTCTGAATTATTACATCAAAATGTCTGTGCTGTTGCAGTCTTGAGTGTGCTGTTCAGGTGTGTATCTGTAAGCTGCAAACCTACGATGACCAAGCAGCAGCAGAACTGGAAGAAGCAGCAGAAGACAGCCAGTTCCACTGCGAGCCCAATAGAAGCCCGGCCACCGGGGCCAGGAGTCTCGCGCTAAGACCGGCTGACCATGGCGGCTCCAGGTACTGGCTGGCTTCGGTCTCTTCTCCTCCTGCTCTGGAACTATGTTGCTGCGTTTGCAAAAGTAACTATTGCCCCTCCACCAGATTTTTTCCTTACCTTTTCAGTTCGTGAATCAATTTTTGATTTGATTTGATTTATTAAATTGGGTTAAGTTTCTTTCCCCTCTTTGGTTCTGTTTTGTGTAAGAACACCCCATTTAACAGAAGTCACCCTCATTTTAGCAGTCCCTTTAGCTTAGCAGCTTCCACTCAGGAGGGTGCTGGTGGTAGAAGGGGATACCCAGTCGCAGCTGACTTGTGGCAACCCTGTAGGGACAGAGGTGGTTTTTGCCCTTGCCTGCCTCTGCCTACCAACCCTGGACTTCCTTGCTGGTCTCCCACCCAAGTCCTCACCAGGGCCGGCCCTCCTTCACTTCCCTGATGGGAGTGGGCTAGCCGGGGGGGGGCTCGGGTCAGGGTGGGGGGGTACTTTTTTATTTCCTCCTGCAGAAAAAACAGTCTCTGTTATTACCTGCCTCTAACGTTTGAGTGCTTGAAGGAGTGAGGCAATGTGGAGAATACTGGGGTGGCTGAAGACGGGCACATCCTCTGAACTGGACGGGCGAGGGGCACAGCAGCCCTATTTTCCCACTGAGTTGTCCGGGGAGGGGGGGGAGTGAGGGGCCAGGTTAGGCTCCAGCCTGCCGCTGATCCCTGGAATGCAGAGGGTCCCCCCCCCCCCGCATCTGAAGTCATTCCCACTGTCTTCTCCGCCTTGCCATCTTACACGCGCATTGT